TATCTGGAATACCAGATCCTGTGTGAGCAGGAGAGACGCCATTGTTTCCAAACCAAGAGCAGCCAATGAGAGCAGCTCAACTCGCTTTATGTGACCTCCGCTGGCTGCTAAACACCAACATGGAGACGACCATAAAGCCCAACTGGAGGTTCAGAGCTCCACAGACTGATCAGGGACCACAGATCCACAACTGGATCAGACCTGCTGCAGGGTTAGAAGTCTCTGATCTGGATCAGTACAGGAACACAGTTTCTGAGGAAAGTGAAGAATGTTCCAAGTGATTCACCTGAACAGGTGAGACAGACGGACGAGTTGAGCAGCATTCCTCACAGAAAGCAGGAAAAAACCCGGACAGACATGTTTAAAGCTTCTCTGGTTGGTGGTGTTGTTGTTGTTGGTGTTAGTGGTGTTGTTGTTGTAAGCTCCTTTCAATCTGTAAACAGTTATTGCCGACCTCATTGTTTTTTTGTTGTGTTTGTGATTATTTGTTTTATTGTTATTATTGTATTTCCATTGCAGGTAACTATTGTTTATTGTTTATTCCAATTATTGACGTTTATATTTGGTTTGTTTATCATCGTGCTGATTTATTGATCAATTGATTGATTGATTTGAAGTTTATTGGTGTTTGTGTAACATCAGGCAGCAGCTGATTGGTCCAAATAAAGGATAAAGAATCATTTTACATTTTATCTACAGATCAATATTTTATCTTTAGATCTTTCCAAGGAACTCAAAGATTCACATTATACAGCAGAACCAGAACCTCTGAGTCCGTAACAGACTCCTCCTCTTCCTTAGCTCAGCTGCTAGCTCACCTGTTAGCTCACCTGCTACAGTGTGTACATGTACAAAGCTCAGCAACCATTTGCTTTATTTTAATCATATTTAAATCCTTTTTAAATAATATTTGACATTTATAGTGTTTTCTTTCTTTGTTTACTGCTGTGGAAAAGGTCTATTATCGATTATTGATTAAATATTCCTTCAGTTTCTAACAATGAAACTCAGTTTGGGGTTTTATTGACAGATATTTGACCCAGTGAGATGGAGCAAATAATCAATAATCAAATCTTCTCAGAATTTATATCTAATACTTCCTCTGAGTACTTTAATATCCGGTAGAAGTATTTTAGACTTTAAATCAATCAATCATCAATCATCAATAATTGGGTTTTCTTGTCTTACTGTTGTTGGTCTCGTTGGTCTCGGTGGATGCCAGCAGCGGGACGAGGTGAGGACTCTCCCCGCCCTCTTTGCGGGTCTCCGTGGTCCGGGTCTTGCGGTAGACCTTAAACTGGGTGCTGTGCTGGAGGACGCACACGTCGCGGCCCCGGACCAAACACCGGACCAGCAGGCACTGCGGGCCCCCGTCCATGGGGAACCCCACCAGAGCCAGGTCACAGGCCGTGTCGTTGCAGCACGCAGTCTGGCAGCTCTCCGGGTCCGAGACTTCCTTCATCTGGTCCAGGTGGATCTCTGCGGAGTCCATGGAGGCCAGGGCCAAACCCTGATTGGGATCAATCGACTGGTCCCAGTCACAGTCCAGGGCCATAGCGGTAAAGAGCAGGACGCAGAGCGCCAGTAGAAACGACCTAAGAATCTGTTGGATCATCTTTTCAATGTGGGTCCGGGTTTAAGGTAGAACTGCTTTCTGGGGGTTCAGGACTCTGAGAGACGTTCTGATCCGCGACAGTGACTCACTTCCGTGTTTGAGGCTTTATGTTGTCGCAGATAAATTTACCTGAGAGACAGGTGAGGTCACTGTGGACACGCCCCGCGCTGCGTCACTGCCGCGTGACGTAGAACGTAACGTAACACAGAACGTAATCAGAATCATTGTTATTGATCAGCTATGTGCACATTACACAGACTGAGCATAAATAAACTAAGATAGATAGATAGATAGATAGATAGATAGATAGAAATACTTTTATTTATCCCCGAAGGGAAGGTATAGCAGCTGATTAAGAGTCATATTATTAGAATGTTTATATGCAGTGGGGGAGAATATTTTCTATATCGGTTCTTAGGAGCGGGATGAAGTCTGTTGCTGAAGCTGCTCTTGAGCCTGTCCAGTGTTGTGTGGAGGGGGATAATATGTACAGTTATAAACAAACAAACAATAACATCTGTACATATCAATATATATATTTATAGATATATACCTGAATATAATACACTATAATTATTATAATACATAATAACATTCAGTTACAGTGGATTTAAATGTGCTGGGTGCAGTTCGTATGTTCTCCAGCAGCACTAGGACCCAGCGGGAACCTCTAATGCTGCATTCAACATCCCCTCGTAAATGTCACAATCACATAATAATAATAATAATAACAATAAAAATAATATAGTATGAAAGCACTGCATGTCTCTGTTATTATATTTTATTATTTATTGATACAGAATGTGAAAAGCATCATCAGGATGTTTGATCAGTGATTAGTTCACACCGATAACTGATGGATAACTGATAGATAACTGATAGATAACTGATGGATAACTGATGGATAACTGATAGAGCGGTCATATTTTGATATTTGATGTCAAATATAAAAACAGTTGAATCACTGACTGTCTGCAGCTCTCAGAAATACAGACAGCACCTGAATGCAGCACCAGCAGCGTGGTACCCGCCCTGCCCGGGTTCACTCAGTCTGCACGCGAGGCACCGACACAGGTCCACCTGACAGGACCCTGTATATTATTACTCTAATATTATTATATTATTACTCTAATATTCTTCTTATTATTATTATTATTATTATTATTAACTGTGAAATATTAAAATCAGACTTCTCAGTATTTGATCCGGTTTGGGGGATTCTTTGGGGGTCCTTTCTGAGGCCGACTGTCGTGGTCCGGGTCTGGTGGGTCGTGATGGCAGCTAACCGGGTGGGGCGGCGGGTCAGTAAGGTGGCTCCGGGTCAGGGTCTACAGCGGCGGCAGGCCCGGATCACCGTCAAATACAACCGGATGGAGCTGCAGAGGAGGCTGGACGTGGAGAAGTGGATCGACTGTGGACTGGACCGGTTGTACAGGGGCCGGGTGAGTACTGCTGAATACTATTGAATTCAATTCAATTCAATTCAATTCAATTTTATTCAATTTTATTCAATTTTATTTATATAGCGCCAATTCATAACAGAAGTTATCAGACAGACAGACAGCAACAACAGTAGCAACAACTACACTAATAGTAGTGACTGATGATGATGAACATGAATAATAATGATGACGACAACAACAACGATGG